TGAGTGAGTGAGTTATAGATAAATAGATAAAAGAAAAATAAAAGAAAGTGTGAAAGTTTTTGTCAGATACTTGCAGTTGACAGAAGTAAATACCCCCCTGTTTTTCTACTTGCCTGACATGTATCAAACACCAAAGCAATAAATCTGACCCTGATTAATGAGTTATTTCATCTGCCACTGATCATATACATGGCACAATTCAGTCCTATGTTTTAAATTATTATAATTACCAGTATTTGTAATTATAGATCAGCTGCAGATGCTTAAACAGACACGTTACATTTCCCTGGAGGCCACAGAGGCTGAAGTCCACAGTAAACACACAGTAACCCCCCCCACACACACATCTGTACCCAACTGTCCAATGACAAGCAGCTGCTAAAATCCTCCCCACCAATCAGAGGAGAGAATCTGGCCTGCAACACGTCTCCTACAGAGGAGCAGGAAAGAAACCCTGCAGCAGCGAACAGACGCTTCTCCACCTCTTCTCTCAGTCTTCTGCAGACTCTTGTGAACATGGCTGCTGAGATGCCGCGGTGGGAGAGAAAACTGCGCGTTTTCTTGTGCGTCTTTGGTTTGGTTCTGTCAGTTTACGCGCTCCACGTCGAGCTGTCCAAAGAGTCAAACCCCGACTACAGAGCGATGTGTGACCTGGGGGAGTCAGTGAGCTGCTCCAAAGTCTTTACCTCCAGGTGAGTTCTTGTGTGATGTGCTGTTTCCTCTCTGTTTTCAGGGTTTCGTACCTGTGGCGCTGTGCAGAAGCAGCAAACCTCGACCCCACCTCTCTCCTGCGTTTGTTCATTCATGCTTCTAACTTTTTCCTGTAAACTGTGACTTGTGAATTTTTCCAGACCCCTTCAATTCAGTGCCACGTGTTACATTCCTCTGGAAATGTTGCACATCAGCTTCTGTTTCACATTGTGAAACAACTGAGTGAACATCCCTTGACTTCTCGTGGCAATAATTATAATCTCTGAATTATATAGTAGAATGCAGCCGAGCTTTCTTTTCACTTTCTTGTCAGTAATGTGTGTGCTTTTGGTTTTTTTGGCAGATGGGGACGTGGTTTTGGTTTGGTCCAGTTCTTTGTGGCCCAGGATAGTCCTCTGAACCAGCCCAACAGTGTGCTCGGCATCATATTTTACACTCTGCAGATGGGCCTTGGTTAGTCTGTCATCGTCTCTGCTGATTATATCCCAGTACTTTTAGGGAATACACTGTTTACATTCCAGCATTTCTATGAACCATGACTGGACATGCTCTTCAGGTTGTTCAAAAAAGTAAAGTAAAATGAAGTAAAGTAAGCAAGTTAGTAAGGGAAGTCAGTAAGCAAGTTAAGTTAGAAAAGTAGGTTAGTAAATAAAGTAAGTCAAGTAAAAGATTAAATAATAACTAAAGCAAAGTCATTTCTTGAAGAATGTAAGTTAGTAGATAAAGTAAAGTTAAAGCAATGTAAGTAAATAAGTAAAGTTAGAAAGTGAAGTAAGTAACTAAGTAAAGTCTGTCAGTAAATAAAGTAAAGTTAAAGCTAAGTAAGTCAAGTAAGTAAAGTATAAAATGAATGAAGGTAAGTCGGTGAATAAAGTTAGGAAATGAAAGTTAGACAGTAAAGTAATAAGTTTAGCAAGTTAACTATGTAAATTGGTTAGTTGTATAAAGGATTCAAACAGTACAAAGCACACGGTGAGACAGAAATCATTTTTTTAAGTGCTTCAAAAGATACTGCAGAACGTAAATCTATAGGAAGAGTCATATATTAAGATATTAAGATATTAAGATTCCATAATATCGGGGGCCAAAACTATGAAAGCACGGTCACCTGTAGTTTTCAAATGAAACGTGTGACAATCATTAACACCCCTGATCAGAGGAGCCAAGCTGTACGGATGGAGCAGTTCACTTCAGTTCTGGGGCCTGACCATGCAGTGCTCTTTAAGTGAAAAATCTTCAAATCAATTATGAATTTGATGGGCAGCCAGTGTCAGGATGATAAGACGAGTCTGGACGACTTAAAGATGCTCCAGAGATTATTAATTGAGGATGAGAATAAAGGCGTGAATGAGGCTCTGTAGCTTCGCTTGTGACAGAAAGCTCCTGACTCCGGCAGATTTGGTTTAAAAAAAAAAGTGAGATATGAGCACATCATTGTATGTGATTGTTTATCAGTCAAGCTTACAGGGATAGATAGTGTCTCTTTATTGATGGTCTGAAGTCCTGGGTTCTGTCTTCATTACAGGTCTGTCGCTGTCCAGGAAAGCTGCAGTGTTTCTGGTCTTCTCCTCCTGGGTGTCGGTGGCCGGCTCTCTTTATCTGGCGTCCATTCTCGCCTTCGTTCTGGGGGACTTCTGCATGGTCTGCGTGTCGACATACATCGTCAACTTCGCACTGCTCTTCACCAACGTCAAACGAAGGAGAGCGATCGGGGGAATGAAGGAAAAGGCCGGATAGAGCGCGTTACCCCTGAAATTCAACGCCTCTGCTTTTCTGCTGAGGTGAAGCCACACTGGAACTGAAATTCTTATCCACCCCCACAGTATTTTTATTTCTTAAAGAAACAGGACTGGATGTGTGTCTCAGCCCAGCTTGATACTGGATAAAGCAGAAGTCACTTTTGTGAATTTGAATAATGCTTTTTGTCTCATGTGATTTTAGTCCACATAAGCTCTACAAAATTAAAATACATTGATGTACAGTAAATAACCTTTTGGTGAAGCAATACAGAGTCCTACCAGTAGATGGTGCAAAATGTCAAATATAATTTCTGTTCTCTTCAAATAACTAATGGGCAGTTTGTCTTCTTTTTCCCATGATGCTGTGAAGTTCAGCCTCTGTGAAGGAAATCTTGATGGACTCACTCAAAAACTCATGAGTCAAAAGCTTTTTGATCAACCTCCACTTTAAAATGTGAAGAACTCTCTCATTAACTCATTAAATATACCCTGAAAGTATTAAAAGTGAGATTAGCTTGCAGTGATGCTGCTGGGTCCACCTGCCTTATAATGTTTAAAAATATTTACACTATTTCCCAAGTAAACAAATAATTGATCAACTGAGAAACTCAGCAGATTATTCAAAAATCATAATGATCATTAGTTCTGCCTCTACCTAAAATGTAAGTGCATGCTCCCAGAGCGTGTTTCACATCAGCTACAACAGAACGGGTTCAGGCGTTCCCAATTCCACCTGGTCTTCAAGTGTTGACACAGCACTTCAGGAAAAACCAACAAATTCATCATCGTAACAAAACCAAAACGGGTTTAGGCGTTCCCAATTCCACCTGGTCTTCAAGTGTTGACACAGCACTTCAGGAAAAACCGACAAATTCATCATCGTAACAAAACCAAAATGACATTTGTGTCTAACTTTGGCTTCCTCACATGATTATTTACTCTCTCACCAACTCCCCTCATGGAGTTTCTCTCCTCACGGAAGTTTCCCTCAAAATCAAAATGGATTCATAGCAGCAGGTGACTCTCTCTTACTCAGTCGTCCTGTTTAACAGATTTAAATCCTCACGTCATCACTGATTATCGTCTCTGAGATAACGGATTAACCTGCTTTGCTTCTGTGACCATGACGTTTGCATTTTCCCTGAAATAAAGTAGCAGATATGAACTCTTCCTTCACTTGATGTGTATGCAAGTAAAACGTCTCGGCTTAACTTGCCGACTATAAGAGGCTTCAGATTTGTTTATGGTCTTAAGTCAGCTCAAGAGTTAAGTAAATAAGTAAATGTTACATTAAGTAGTTTTACATCTTCCACAAAGTCACTTCTAAAATCACCATCTTATTTGGACCCCATTTTATTCCATGATCATGTGGCTGCCATCTACTTCCTCTTTTACTTCTCAGGACAGCAGAGGCGTAGTGACCTCCTCGAAGGAAGTTATGTTTTCATCTGTATGTTTGTTTGTTGGTTATTTAGTTTGGATTCTGCAGAAACCATTCTACCGTTTTTCATGAATGGGCAAAGACCCAAAGAAGAACTCAAGAAGAATTCAATTTGGGTGCAGAACAGAATCAATATTGTGTTTGTCAACATTTTCATCAATGTCTCAGAGAATAATTCATGAATCTTGATGAAAAATGGTTAAATCTGAATAAAAGTCCCGATCTAGTGGATCTAAATGTGGTTTCACGAGGGGACAGTTGGCCCTTGATGTAGGTAAGCACTCCCCTACCCTTCTACTTGCATATGAAATGAATTAAACTTCAGTGTGTAGTGCAGTTTTCTGTTGTTCAAGGATCTTCTAGAAGAATTTAATGATATTTCAAATGTTATCTCCAGCCTTACTGAGAAAAAAGAAGAGGAGAAATGTTAACTAAGAAAACACCAGCATGTGTTTTGAAACGTTATATAACTACATTTGTAAAGGTCTTTCTCTGGACTGTCAAAGTGCACTTAAAGAACAGAGAAAATGATGGATGAGGAGTAAAGGTTGCAGCCAAAACCATGAATGTCGTAAGCCGCATGTGTAGTATTGTTTTTCACTGCAACGTCATCAGCGTCAGCAGGAAATTCTTACCACTGTAGAATTGTTAACACGCAGCACTGAAAGACGAGTATTGTGGTTATCAATGATGAGCTGGGTTGTGTAAAGGTGTTTGTGTGAATGACATGACTTGTTTGACATGTCGGGTTATGCACGTGTGCTGAGAGGACACCCCTACTCTTGATACACAGCTCTCTGACCAATAAACCTCACAACCACTGATTTTTAATTATAAGATGCAAGACAGTCTCGTGGTTCTGTGTGGAGAAGACATGTTGATTGGGTTTAGGCTGATTTGAGACTACGCTGACCGTATGTGTGTGAACGGGAGTGTAAATACTTGTTTGTCTCTATATGTTGGCCCTGGGATAGACTGGTGATCTGTCTGGGTCTCGACCTTAAAAAAATCAAGCGGTACAGATAATGGACGGATAGAAAGTATTATTAATTTGATTAAGCTATGGATTTATTGGTTGATTATTTTGGAAGGTCTCAGGGGTCAGCACTGTCTATTCCCTGGACCTCCTGCTTCCTCCCACAGTCCAAAGTGATGCAGATTAAAGGGGTAACTCACCCAAAATCAAAATTCTGTCATCATCTACTCACCAATATGCAAATGGTGGGGCGGGTGACGTGTTTATGTCCATAGTAATTTTCAGGGGTGAACAGCTTTGCAGCCAAATCCAATGCAATTAAAGTAAATGGCTACCACATTCACTCCAAACGTAAAACAGATGAAAAAAAAAAAATGCCTCCATGCTGCTCCTGAGGTGTCATCAAAAGTGTCTGAAAGCCCCAACATTCAAAACAGCGTCATTTACATCCTGTTTTAAGCCTAAATGTCCACTGATATCCTCCTTTGGAGCCACGTTAGCGTGTGGATCACAGCGCACATTTAGACTAAAAACATGGTGGAAATGACTCCTGCTCCCCCAATACCCACAAAAAAGGATAAATAATAAAGATATTAGGAGCACGGTTTTATGCTTTGAATTTTGAAAACAAAATACTGATTCTATCAACTTATACTTCAGTTTTTGGATTTATTCAATTTGATCTGATCAGAAATGTATCTATTTTTAAATGAGCTATAGGTTACACAATAGGATTGCAACAGGTAATGTGCGTGGTATCAGTGACATAACCAGGAAACTTTCTGCCTCCGAAAAATCACTTTATCTCTACAAGGTGCTGAAATGCACCATTGTCTGACACAAACAGTGATGGCAGACACTTTTGTCTCAGCTTGTGAAATGTTCCACTGCAGTTCTTTTTGCCGTCTGGTTAAACGTTTCACATGTTGGGACTCTCACACTGGGTTTGCAAAACATGTGATATTTGGTGGTTTGTCCTCATCATCAGTTTTAATATTAATGCAATAAAGCACAGTTCAGCTGTGTATAGACTGAGAAATTGACAAAATGTAGCATTAAATCCACTGGTCGTATGTTTGATCACAAAAA